CTTTAATGCTGTTGTTTTGTAACAGTGTGTGATAAGCAAATAATACTTTTTCTGCCCTTGTTCCCTTCAAGGTGCAAGTTACTTCCTTATAAAATACTTCTAAAACATCATTTGAGGAGAATATTGGCCCAGTGGGCTCCTTTTCTATCTTTAAAAGTTTTGTAAAAACGTTTCAAAAAATAGCAAACTCACTGTTAACTTACTGTTAAGGTAATGAGTAAGTGTGTTAAATAACAACTAATGCTAACGTCAGAGGGTTTTTTGGTTAAATAAATTCTCCAAGCTCTGGATTCTTTATTTGATTCAGGCTAAAGATAGAGTTAGGGTTAGAGAACCAATGCTCACTCTTTACTTTGCATGAAGTGGGGCCTCCTGTTGAACGAAACACCTAGTTAAAGGGCCCAGCCACAATTTGGTTGTGGCTTCCACAGTAGATCTGGGATTGGAGTCCAAGCCTTTCTCCCTGCTCTGCTAATTCAACCCCCTGTAAAGTGGTAGATCAGGCCAGTGCCCTGAGGCAGCCCTCAATGTAATTACAAAAGGTCTCTGCAAGCAGTCAATCCAGATCTCTGGTAAAATTGATCTGGCCCTGTTGCAGCATGCAAGTTCAGGAAGGAGAAAGTATTGAGGATAACAGACAGAGAGGGGGGGAGGGAGGGAATGGCCTCATTGATTCTTACTTCTGGCCCTGGCTGTCATTGACATTGTAGGACCCAACAGATTGTTCCCAAAGGAAAGTAGCCTTTAGTCCACATTGTAATTTTTTTTTCTGGCAGCAACAGACACTTGTTGATGGTGATGGAGTTTTGTTCCTTTTGTTTTAATCATACAGAATATTCATGCTGTTCAGGACGCTAAGGCTGAAATTAAACATATATTTTAAAGCACTTCAATTATCACTTGGAAATCTTCCCTCACTTCAGTTAATCGTGAGCACTTTATGTGGCATACACGAAACCTGTTTGTTGAGACCACCTGCAAAACTATGTTTGGAAGGAGTGGGGAGTATCGGAAAAGGGATGTACTTTTTAGTTTGTAGTGATGTTGTACAGTGATCACTCAGCCTGTGCTCTGGGAGGCTAGTTAGTCGATAATGAAAAGGAATAGACAGGAATGAATCTGGCAAGCTGCACAGATAGACTCTGTGTGCAGGAAGTTTTGAACCCAGGGTCAAGATTCCGGTTGCAAGAAAATTTGTCTCCCAAAGTGCTCACGAGTGTTGTCCCCCTGGTGATTTTGTCATACAGTATATCTGATGCAGCAGGAAGTTTTGAACCCAGGGTCAAGATTCTGGTTGCAAGAAAATCTGCCTCCCAAAGTGCTCACGAGTGTTGTCCCCTGGTGATTTTGTCATATATCTGATGCAGAGCAAGTCTTGGTTAAATATACATTCAGCTGACTGTGGCACAGCATTTATGTATTACTATCATCTAGCTTCCCTTGCGCAGAAAAAACATGTGACAGTCTTCAGCTATTTAATTCTTACGCTGAGGACGTGTGCCTGAGTGGCAGCTGCCTGTTCTTCAAGTTAATTACTCTTCTATGATGTGGAAAGTATCTTGGGAAAAGTATTTCAATGGAAAAAGTTAGATACTGTTTTCCCTCTAGCCTCCACAATCCCCTTGGGAAGCCACCTTGGGCAAGCTGCAACAGTTATCAGCATTGGGACTTGAGAAAGAGTGGTCTGACTTGTAGCAAACGGTTTCTGGGAATCAGACACATGTGGAATGGGGAACAAGATGTTGTTAGACTGCAGTTCCCATCATAGGTGATGCTGCTAGGGATGCTGACAAGTGTTATGGCCCAGCAATATCTGGTGGGTTATACATTGTTTATCCCTGTGATATATCAAAAGAATTTACCTTTCCTGCTCTTTAAGGGCCATTTGGACAAGCCCCAAATGGTCTCTCTACTTCTCTGTACTTCTTTACAAGCTGATTTTCTTAACAGTTCCATAGTCAAATAAAGAATTATTTTAGTTATTCATGCACCAGTTGTTTTGTTAAATTTGCTTTCTACCCTTCCTCCAGAAAGCTCAGAGGATCATTTTGACCTCACTCTAAGGCAAAGTTGAAATAACCATTGTACGGGGGTGAACTGGATCACCTTCCAGACCCCAGTGCCTAAGACACTATGGGTGTTCCAGTGCAAAGAGAGGAAAGCCAGGTGATTGATTCCACATGAACTTGCTTTTTCCTAGTTATGAGTGTGAACAACAAGAGGGAGATAACACCTATGTTAACTCATGGAATAAAAATAAGTAAGAGACTGTGGCTTTGAGCTAGAGGCTATGCATTGGATGCAGAAGGTCCTGTGTTAAATTCCCAGCATCTCCAGGTAGGACTAGGAAAGGATTCTACTTTAACCCCTGGAGAACCACTGCTAGTTGGTAGTGTTGACAGTCCTGGGCTAGATGAATCAATGGCCTGACTTAGTATAAGACAGATTCCTAATGCCCCTACTGCTTGGTTGTTGATAAAAATTCCTCTGCCCCAATGGTCTCACTTCTCAACTGGGACTCCAGGAGTGGTCACCTTCAAGTCCTCCATGGTGTGGAGTCATACATTTCCCTCTTCTGCTGTAAGGAAGAGACAAGTGGGAACTGCAAGGATGGGCCAAGGTATAAAAGGTACAGGGTAAGGAACAGCCTTTCAGTGAGGACTGTAACAGTCTACTTATGGGATTGTCAGGGCCAGGGCAAGAGCGCCAGCCTGCAGCATTGCTATATGGCTGGATGAGTCCCTGCAGCAAAAGAAGTCAGTGGCTCTGGAACGGAAAAGTGTGGACCTTGGATCATGCTTCCAGCTGACACTGGAACAGCTGAAGCAGCCTCGTGGAAGCCCTTCCCTCCTCCCCAGAAAGTGGCTTTTCCCTTTAGTTTTTCCCCAAGGCTGCAGCATCGTGGCGGCAGTCTCTAGCATTTCCCATCTCGGCTGATAAGCCGATGAGTCACCTCAACTCTTCTGCTGGGGAGCAACATCCGGGAGTTTTCTCAAGGACAAAGTGGGTTTTTTAATGAGAGCAATGTCAAACGCAGAACTGGGGAAAGCGAGCCTGTCCTTTTACTTCAAGTACACGGTACTGAGTTTTCTGCCACTAGGCCACAAAAGGGGAAATTTAGTTTTTTAGAACCAAAGGAAGTCCAGGATCTAAATAAGATGAGGTGAGATGAAGTTGATCACATCAACATTGTTCCTCTCGCCCCCGTAAAATCTTCAGAGACTTCAATGCCCTTTGAGCATAACCCTTTTTTTCAGCCAGAGGATAAAAGCCTATCACCATGCCCTCTCCCGCAGTAGTGGTCAACCCACAGATGTGGGTCAACAGATCCTCTCAGGTAGTTCTCTGTAAACCCAAAGACATTAGGGAATGTACCCAATGTACTTATTGGGTCCTCAGGCCAGCACTACCACCACTTCTTCCATCTCTTCTACTTGTTGCTTTGGTCAGAAGCTTGACTTCTTTCCTCCTCATCCCTCCTTGTGTGCGAAAGAAGACGGAAGAGCAAATAACTTCTTGTTTCTGACCCCCCACTCATCCTCTGTTATCCAAGTCCTCCTCTGTCTTCAGTTTTTGCAGAAGGTTCTTGCACTGCAAATTTTCTGCACTTTAGATTCCAAAGGCACCTTGCCTGGCATACAAATGAGGCTTCCATTTTGTTCTAGTTGGCCATTATAGGTATAATCCTGGTTTGGGCAAGCATTGGAACTGATGAAGTCTCAAAATGCCCCCAGGTCTGGCATCAGAGTAGAAGTTTGGTCGGAGAGAATGTGTTAGAATTTCATGGCATCTCTGAGATGTTCAAAACCTTTTATCCCTTAGATATTTGGGACCATAATGTTGATAGTCAGGCAAGTCAGCTTGACCCACAAGCCTCTCTGTTTATGAGTGAGGATGTATTTCTTGACCTACCCTGGTCAATTAGTTTGAAGGGGCTTCTGTACCAGAGCGGCTGGTTTCCCTGCCCCTTTCCCTTCCTCATCAGGCAGGACAAAGAGGTGGCACACAAACTGGATTTAGGCCTGGCATCTCTCTTCACCTCAACCCCTATTTTCTGTGCAACTGAAGCCACATTGCATCTTCAACAGGCCAATGTCTATATGTTATAAGCATACTGGGAAACTCATGGTGGTAATCGTGAAGTAATCAGAGCTATGGGGAGATGCGTCATTCCTAAACCAGAGCTTATATGCAGTGGAGGGTAGGGGGTTTCATGGTTAGACTGCCATGGGCTCTGTAACCAGACCAAGAACATCAGAGAGCTTATATAGATGTTGTCTGTTATGCATCTGGGTGGAAGACCATGGGAACTCTATTTTAAAGCAATTTCAAATTATTATTACTGCTAGCGTTGGTATTATTAGCAGCTGGGATACCATTCCACTAAAAGGGAGGCATAATTCTGAGTAGGCTCAAAGCCATATTCTTTAATATCTAATCCAAGATTCGACTGCCAGAAAAGGAGTATGTTTTAAGAGTGTTTTATTTTTTAAAAAATGTCATCATAATTTAGACCAGCCTTCTCCCACTTGGTACCTTCCAGGTGTGTTGAACAGCAACTTTTCATCACCCTCAACAAATAGGGCTATTCCATGGAAATGTTCTGCCATGAGATGATGGATACTATGGCCCTGCACATCTGGGAAGGCTAATGGTTGGGATTGGGAATGGCTAATTTATCATTTAAAACCCTGTAGCACTAAAGTGGCATACACATGTTCAAGATGTAAGATACATGTTGGTTTAGCTACTTTCACTCACTCTTGCTCTTGGAGTTATTCTTATTTGCATATACGCACATGAGGCTACATATGCATCCACTCTCCATTTGTGGGACTGTCCTTGTACAGACTGTAAAATGCATATAGCCATACAGAATTGCCTCTGTACCAAAATGTATACATACATCTGCACATTTGTACACAATCATTCACACCAATGGGTGTGTGAGAGAAGACCTATATATATTAAACCTCTCTTTCTTGGTCTCTGTCTGATAGTTCAAAAGAATGCTGAACCGTGAACTAACCCACCTCTCTGAAATGAGCCGCTCTGGAAACCAGGTCTCTGAATACATTTCCAACACCTTCTTAGGTGAGTACAATGGAACCATAACTTCGGATTGCCAAGGCTCTGCTCCTATATCCGTGTATGCTCTTACATTTTTTTATTACGATACATAAAGCAGTGTTGTAAGATAAAACTGGTTCTCCAAATGGCAGGGGACGGGAAACTGGAGGCAGCATCTGTGAACAAGACATTCCAGTCCAGTAGAATCAGGAAGATTAGAAATACAAAAGAAACCTATCTACTAATATGTCAGTGTCAGATATGATGTTCTTTTACACAGTACTCCTCCACAAGATTTACAAAATGTAACTGGCATCAGTTGTTGATTTTCAGCTTATCAGGGCTTTAAAAAAAAAAAAAACCAAAGATTACCTTCTTCTAGGGTGGAAACATGTGCTTGTGTGGCATGTGTGAGAAAATAATTAACTTAAGAGGATATCCCATTAGTTCCTTATTTTGCATTTTTTTTAAAATCATGAAAACTCTAAAGTTCTTTAATCTTGAAATTTCTTTGTAGTTAAATATTTCAGGAATTGACTCTGAAGGCTATAGAATAAATTTCTTCAGTTGATTGCTGCAGAGTGTGATTGAAATGTTTCCAGACTTTTAATCTTTGCCTTCCAGGGGGGGAGGGAATGGCGTCCATGGCACTATGGTGCCACAGTTTGTATTCGTATCTCCATGTATAGGTTCCCCTTGACATTTAGTCCAGTCGTGTCTGATTCTAGGGCATGGTGCTTGTAACGTGGCTGAGCCACTCTGAGGTCACCTCCTACTCAGGCCTCTCGAAATGCCCACCATGCCACTAAACACTCTTGTTGCCACCAACCTTTCCTTTAAATAAAAAGGACAAGGGTTTCTTTAAAAAAAAATAAAACTTGGTTTATTGATTACAAAAATAAAATATGAGAATCCCAGAAAGATAATCACTTTGTAAATCACTTTCTTATTTTAAATCAACCACATAGACATTCCCTCACTGACACTCAGGCACGCAGGCCTCTTTCTCACACCAGATCTCTCCAGATCTCACTCTCTCACTCAATCAATCTACTCTCACACACTCTTCACCCCTCTTTTTATACCAGCTCATCCCCTTCAGTTCCACCCTCCGTCACACCATTGGCTGATGATTCAATGTCCAGCTGTGACGGACAGGTGAGGACAGGGCTGAACGTTACAGTGCTCATCTCCGTTGCCAAGCCGTAGAACCAGCATTTGTCCAAAGACAGTTTCCGTGGTCACGTGGCCAGTGCGACTAGACACGGAATGCCATTACCTTCCCACCGTGGTGGTACCTATTTATCTGCTTGCATTTTTACATGCTTTCGAACGGCTAGGTTGGCAGGAGCTGGGACAAACAACAGGAGCTCACTCCTTGCATGGATTCGATCTTTCGACTGCTGGTCTTCTGACCTTGCAGCACAGAGGCTTCTGCAGTTTAACACGCAGCGCCACTACGTCCCTAATCCCCATGGATATGAATAGCCCATGTCTAGTGGAGGCCATCCAGATGCAGGTATGGCCCCAAGATGCTTTGGCATCCAGTTCTGCTGTCTGGAAAGAAAAAGAGCCTTCTTGGCCCTGGGTCAAGGACCATGGTTTTCTTGAGAACAGAGGAGAGTGCCCCACTGGCTCTGTTTGCCCTTATGTCATTATGTCATTAGCCTCAATTGGCTGGGATCACTGGAGTTATCGGGAGAACTTTGATGGACTGTTATCAGTAATGGAAATGAATAGTCCTGCTTGGGGAGAGAATGAGAACTGAGCATGAAAACAAGAGCTGTGATTTGCTGCAAAGGGGAGCCAAAAGACAAAAAGGGTATTGTTAGGACACCAGCAAGCAATCTCATCGCTCCTGTCAATGATGCAGGCCCATAGACACACATGGAAACCACTTCTCTCTTGCTCCTGCCTCACACTCATACACTTCCTCCTTCCTGGTTTGAGCAGGATTAAGCCATAAACTGACAGTTCGCACTCTACCCCAGCCAGCCAGCCAGCCGAGGGTGTCCTGCCATTTCTGTGGGCAAGACTGCAAGGTACAGATCACTGTCCCTATGCACCTTCCTCCCAGCTTAAGGACACGTTCCTCTCAGCCTCACCATTGATTCTGCTGGGAAGGACATGGCACTGGGATGACTCTCCTCATCCATTGTCAGCTCTGACACCATTGTCGTAACAGTGGTAGTTTTTGGAGTGGAGCGGGGGAGGTGGAAGGGTGAGGGAAGCTTGGGGACTGACCGCTTCCAAGAGCTATAGGCATCCTAAGGATTGCAGGTATCTTTACTTTACTTTACTTTATTTGGACTTATACCCCGCCCCTGTAGACAAAGTCTACTCGGGGGCGGCTTACATGAGTGAGTTGTGGGAAATGTGTTTCTCTTTCCTTAAAACTCAAAGCACAACATTTCAGTGCAGATCTCCCCCTCCACACACACACACACACACACACACACTATTATGTTAACTCACCAGTTCTTTCAGCCTTTCGGGGAGGGTCATGATCTTGCTTCATAATCATCTGCTTCAGTTAGTGAGTTGCAAGTGGGGTGTAATCTTAACTTTCTGTCAAAGTAAGTACTGTACATGAAGGGATGGGTAATATGTAGCTGTGCTGCCAGCTAAGCCTACCTTGCAGAAAGGTTAAATGTTTGGCAGTCCCTTCTTCTCACTCATCTCAAATCTAGTATCAAATAATCTAATTTTATTGTATTTTCATTTCACTCTGTAACATCTGGAACCAGCTCTCGAGAATTCTGAATCCAGGCTCCTAGGTTTGGCAGCTTAGTCATGCCACAAGAGGCTGGCCGAGTTAATTTCACCCTCTTCCCTTTTACAGATTAGCACTGCAGTCCTGTATAGGTCCACCCAGAAGTAAGCTTCCGTTGAGTTCAATGGGACTTATTCCTAAGTGTTTATAGGACTGCAATCTAAAGTTTCAGTTCTGTGCACATTTACTTGTGAGCCAGTCTCAGTAGGACTCGCTCCAAAGTAAACATCCATAGGATTGCCAGATGCTTCAACATCTCATAAAAACACTATCATATGCAAACATCTCCCTGTTCATCCCATACTGTACCCTGCACTGTAATGTCTACAGACTATGCTGTGCAGATACCTAAACTCTTCTTGCACACACAGTGACAACATGAAAACAGCGGTGCATCCTCCACTTTTGTGTACAGAGAGGCATATGTCCAGGTGGCTATTTGCCAAGTTCGAGACCTCTCTGTGTAGCCTGGCACTCCTGCCAATCTTGTCTGCACAGCCTTCAACCAGAAAGGAAAGGCGGTGGCTGAAGACATCCGAAGCAAATGCCTTTGTCTGCTGAGTTCTCCAGACAGAAGCCAGGCCTCTGTTGACGTCAGCAGATGCAAATACCCAGCCTTAAGCAAATGTTGATGCAAACTGCCTCTTCAATGGAAGCCTTGTGTGCGAGAGCGATGGGACTTAAGCTGTGAAGACTCGGGCCAAGCGTAACTTTAGGCAAGAGCCAGAATTCACACTCCTCATCATCCTGACCAGCTGTTGTGTGCCCGAGCCAACGCCAGGCCCGGCCCTTGAGGTGCAAAAGGTGAGAGAAAAGGAAAGACATCACACCCTTTAGACCACTTCGTGTTCAGCTGTTGGGCCCACAGCCAGCCCAGGGACGCCTAGCGGAAAGCCAGTTGCTGCACGAAGAGTAACTTGTCTGATAATGTGCCTGGCGGGTCATCCGGAGTCATACATTGCCAGCACGACGGAGCTCGGCCACAGACACTGGCATTCCTAGATGGCTTCTGAAGTTGGCAGAGGAGGTTTTTGTCTAGCAAGCCAGACGGGGAACGTAGGCTGCACATCTGGATCCCATGCTTGGCTGCAGAGCAGGTGTGGATAACCACAGAAAACAAGCAGGGCAACACTTGTTAACTTGCAGTGGGGAATAGAGAAGGCAACCAGAGCTCCTGGCTCTCTTTCCTCCTCTGCCAGTGCCTCCTTGCCTTTCCTGCTTGGCATAGCACGTGCCTCAGATAAGCACATGTGCGCGCCTCAACCAGCTCTGTTGTAAACTACATGTGGACTAGTGCCATCCTGGAGGCTGTTTGTGTGTCTAGGAGTGACTTCCTCAACCTGGCACCTTACAGATGTTTTGGACAACAACTCCTGAGAGCCTCAGCCCACATGCTTAGTGCTGAGGTATAAAGGGGTGGGTGGTACAGCAGCTCCTGACTTCTAAAGAGCACCAGATTGGTTCTTAAACGGCATTCAACTAAGTCCCGTTCCCATATAAAGTCCAGAATCCTTTGGGTCATGCAAGGAACTGGCTAGTTAAGGAAGCTGCAGATCGATCTGGGGCGTGGGTCTTTCTGTAGGAAGGCGTTTCCTTTTGCCTGGTGGTCCTTGAGCACCACCTCACTTGCACGAGGAATGTCCTCGGGCTCTGCCAAGCGTGGTAGAAAATCAACTCCGATGATATGGTCATAGTTAGGAGAACCCAGCCAGATGTGGGAGGTTCCACAATGCTTTGCACTGCCTCTTGCTGTGAAAATGTTCGGGGTGCAAGGAGGGAGAGAGAGGCTCTGTACGTCATCTGTTCAAAGTGCCCAATGGCGTATTGATTGGTTTGGGTGTTTTGTGATGCAACAGTCCGATTTCCTAGCAACACAGAGCCCCAGCACTCTAGAATGCAAACTACGACTCAACTTCTGCTTCCTCCTGGAGCTTCTTGCCCACCCCCACACTCTGCCATGAGGCCCCCCTGCCACTGCTGCTCCCGCAGGTACCACTGGGGCATAGCTTTGTCCTGTCATGATGTGACCCACTCTCAATTCCCCATCACCATGCGTCCTCCCCATTTCCTACCCCCACTGGGCTCTCCCAGTGTCCACCACCTACCCCTGGGCAGGCTGTCTCCACCACCCCCTCTCTTCTCTCAGTGGGTGCCACCCACCCATGACTTCCTGCCCTTGGAGACGGTTCTAGAAGAAGGTGGGGGAACAAGGCCCTGCACTCCTGAGGGTGAGTCTTCTCTGCGCAACTGTTGGACACTGTGCTCAGAGCCCTCCAGTGTGAAGCCCTATGGCCTGCCCCTCTCAGGACACACATGAAGCAGGAGGGTACATATTCCCCCTCTTCCCCCCCTCAAACTCAGTGGAGCCCTCTAGTGTTGGCAGAATACAGCTGCATGATACCTTGTTCACAGGTAATAGATTTTATTTATTTTTATTTTATTTATTTGTTACATTTTTGCTACATTTACACCTTACCTTTCCTCCAGTGAGTTTGAAGCTGTACACATGGGTCTTGTGTCCACATTCACAACAACCCTGTACAGAAGGTCAGGTTGAGAGACTATGATTGGCCTAAGGTCTGCCGGAAAGCTTCATGGCTAATTGGGGCTATTGAGCCCATGTGTTCTATATCTTGTCTTCTAGCTATTACACCACACTGGGTCCTTCAAGGGATGGTCCTTGTGTGATCATATGTATGTATGTGAATGCACATGTCTCAGTGGGTTAGGAAGCTGTGGTGCTCCAAAATGGCTAGATTTACATTCACTGGCTGAAATCCTGTTGTGTAGCTCAGGATGCAAAGTGCAGATGACATCTTTGGCACCACCAAACTGCTGTTACTTAAAGGATTCCTTTAACATTTTTGCATCACACTGTGGACAAGTTTCATGCACCTTGAAATTGTCTTTAGTCAGTGGTGAATTTCCTTTAATCAATAGCAATTTCCTGCTGCTGACATCATCCCTGTTGTGCGTGTGCAGCTGTACAACAGGATTTTAGCCTCTGTACTGGGAAAGGGAGTATAAAGAGAACTAAATCTATGAGACGGTGCTGTTATGGGAGGCTTTCTACTGGTGTCTACCATCAGCTCTCTGCTTTTTAATACAGTATTATTTTTAACTACTTGAAGGCTGTCGTACTTGTCCGGAGTGGAGCTTTCCATCCTTTCTCATTCTTATTTGGACTTGCCATGCTCACTCCAGTTCCTCATCTTCCTTCCTATTCATCCCGTGCTTCATTCAAGCAGAGCCAGACACCCAGGCCTGCTTCTCCTGACCTGTTCTTCCATCCCACAAGTTGATCGTGGTCTCCAGCCACCAACCCCTTTCTTTGAAAAGTACCTCAGGACCATGGAAGATGATTTCAGAATAAGAGAGAGAGAGAGAGAGAGTTAAGAGAAGATAGCATCACTTTCTGAAATGAACTCTGTTTTGCGAATTAGGAAGCAATTCCCCCTTCCTCTTTGAGGACCAAAGGCCATATAATCAGACTGAGGGAGTGCTGGAGGTCAAATTAAATGTGAAAAGGTAGTAGACTGTCCATCAGGAGAGGAAGAACTTTAGGGGTGGAAATGCTTTTTTGTTATTGTTTTACAACTAACCCAAAATAGCCAGCCGGTATGATCAACTTGACATCTTGGCCAGGGGATTTTAGAAAGTGTAATTTTAAAAAATACAATTTCCAGGTTTCTGCAGGATTCAGGTTCCCACCCCAGTGGTGAGCACGATTTGCTCCCAACCATCGAGCTGTCCTCATTTCACTTCTTCCTTCCCCTCCCTCCCTTTTAGGGAGCTGAATGGCATCTGAATTGCTAAGGGACAGGATTCTAGCAAAACCTAAATTTGCCTCAGTCATCCTGGAATCTGTAGCAAAAAACCCGGATACTTTTAAAAGTTACTTTTGTGGACTCCAGCTCCCAGAATCACACAGCCAGCATGTGGAGTCATCCTTGCTTTGGGCTTTTGGGGGATTGTAATCTCAAACAAACTTCTCTAATGGCTGAAGAAACCTTAGTCGTCCTGTCTGTGTGGCTTGACAGCCTTAATTCATAATAAAGAGGTGAGCAAGCCTTATTTGTTTACTTGTTTGTTTACTGTTTAAGCACCCATGCCTGAATACCCCTCCAACACAGTCAGACTTTGGAATGACATTGCATTTGGGAGCAACTAACCCTTGATGTGGGTGGTGCTGTGGGTTAAACCGCAAAAAGCCTCTGGGCTGCAAGGTCGAAAGACCAGCAGTTCGAATCCACGCACCCATCGCTTGTCCCAGCTCCTGCCAATCTAGCAGTTCAAAAGCATGTAAAATGCGAGTAGATAAATAGGTACCACCTCAGTGGGAAGGTAATGGCGTTCTGTGTCTAGTCATGCTGGCCACGTGACCACAGAAACTGTCTTTAGACAAACACTAGCTCTACGGCTTGGAAACAGGGATGAGCACCGTGCCCTAGAGTGGGACACGGCTGGACATTTGTCAAGGGGAACCTTTATCTTTACCTTAACCTTGCACCACCATGTTGTAAAGAAACACTGACAGAGATCAGTGTTTATGCAGATGAACACTTATTCTTTAGCGTTACTGTTAGTAATAATAATCACAATAATAATTTGTAAAAAACCCCGGTACTCTCCAGTGGGTTCTGGCAACTCACATTCCAAAGCCTATGCATGTTTACTGCAGTGGTTCAGGAGTTTTGCTTCTGCTTATCCTGGATAGGAACTGAAAGCACAGCAAAAGCAAAAACAAAACATTAAATCTAGCAGCAGTGAGAAGGCTGGAGGTCAGAGTGGGACAAACCTAACCCACGTGTGTGCCATGGAGACGGATGGCTCTTTACCACCACCTGCAAGGGTGCTGCTAGGCAGAGAACTCGACACTTAAAAGCATTGTGCAGCTCTTTCATCTTCCCCTCCTGAACAAAAATTCTATAGAAAGGGAAAGAGTTGAATAAGAAGTGAGAAAAGACTGTTGGGTTGGTAGACATCAAGGAGGCATTGCTTGGGAACCATGTAAAATTCCACGAACAAGGAGTGCGAAGAAGCAATGAAAGGTTCCTCTAGAATCATCCTGAATATTGAAAATGTTGTTATCCGTGCACAGCACCGATAGATGTTGGATTCCCCTCCGTTCTTGTCGTTTGCCAGTCCCTCTGAGAGGGCACTGTAGGTGTGAGCAGTGGGTTCACGGGGCACTTTCCTTCCAAAAGCACTGAGCTGGTCTTCCTGCGCTAACAGTGAAGCTCTGTAGGGTCCGGCTTTCTATTTGTAGGGAAGACACCTGCGCGTGGCTTGTGTCAGACGTGGCCCCTTCTGCAACTTGTGCCCCCCCTCCTCAAATGCAGTCTCTTTTCATCCTCAGACAAGCAGAATGATGTGGAGATCCCATCCCCAACACAGAAAGAGCGGGAGAAGAAGAAGCGGCAGCAACCCATGTGCCAGATCAGTGGGGTCAAGAAACTCATGCATAGTTCCAGCCTGACCAATTCCAGCATTCCCCGCTTTGGGGTCAAAACTGACCAGGAAGAGCTGCTCAGTAAGGTGAGTTTTGCAGCTGCAGGAAGCTGGCGCCCTCCGGTGGGAAAGAGAAGGAGAGACGACAAAAGTCTTGTTGCCAAGTGAGAGGAGTGTCCTGGCTCTTTATAAACAGCTGAAGGGTTCCATAGTGAAACACCTCGTTTTCATGAATGGAGACTTCTGAGAGATTGAGCAACAGTTAAAGTAAAACTTTCCTGCTACCTGGTGATTTTTAAAAAAGTCTTTAAAAAAAGAAAGGGAAGTACTGCAGGGATACAAGTTAGTTCATCGGGCACCAGGCTTTTCGTCCTCTTTTTTTTATGCTGACTGGGTTCTGTTTCTCCTTCTTTGTTGAAAGAAACTTGAGACTGTAGACCCCACCAGGGCAACATTTCTGTCTAAATTTGAAGCAGATGGACAGTAAGTTACAGGTCACCACTAAGGGTCTCCAGCAGGATTCCGGACAGGGAGAGGCAGCCTTTCTTTTTATTTCCCCTGGTTTACCCAGTTCACATGTCAGCAGCAACAGTGCCCTTTGGCTTTGAAACAGAGGAGCAACTTCATCTCAGAAAATATATATATATTTGTGCTTGAGCCAGCACTCTCCTTTTCTATGACTGGGACATATATGCTGATATAGCCACACATGCGTTTCAAAGTTTTTATTTCTCAGTACCTGCTATCCAGTTTTGAGCTGATTTCCAATTCTTTTATTACATAGAGATCAATTTTACTGGTTGGTTGGTTGGTTGGTTGATGCTTTGAGCTCTCCATTGCATAGAGTGGCTCCATGTGTAGGAGAGGCATCCTTCTTCAAGGTATACTCTTGGATGAAGAGAACAGTGAGTAGAAGCCCAAGGCTAGAAGGCGCTTCCTCCTCACATATTCTCTGAGTGTCTCAGTCCGGCAGAGATAGGAATAAGGTCCAAAAGAGATAGATGCATAAAGAGTTACTGTCGCCCTTGCAATTAGCAAAAAGATAGATAATATTCTAACAGAAGTGAGTAAGCACTTCCTCCCATTTTGTGTTTTATTCATGTAGTGCACCTGGCCAGAAAGGTGATTTACTTGTAGCCAGTTTTTATTTAGATCTCATTTTGTATTTAATCATCCAATCAAAGCCATAACTAGTCACCTTGAAACAGCATAAAGGGCCAGTTTGAAAATAACATTCTTGTCTGAGTACATCATACATTATTGAGCTAGGAACAAAGAGCCTAGCCTCACCAATCCACTCATTTAGTGCCTTCAAGTGTTTCAGTGCTGACCTCTTTCATCAGAATTTTCCATGACTTCCAGAATCAGCATCTGTTTCAGATGCAGGAGACATCTCTGATTTTAAAAGAAGAGGCTTCCAACAGCTGAAGCCAGTGTACTAGGGGAAAAGAAGGCAGGCGTTCTGTCTGTTGTGTGGTGTCTGAACTGGTCCCAATAACTCTTTGCAGACGCATGCAGCTCTGCAACGGTTCTACCACACATGCACCACATTCGCAGCAGGAGCCCATGTCACCAAACATACCTTTTTGGTAACAAGTGTATATGTTTGTTGGATTGAAGCATACGTTTGTTGTGTCCCATGCTTAGACATCAAGCACACAGGGATCACATCCCCACAAGTGGTAGCATGTCTTTCCAAGAAAGGCTGGATAGCCCTATACCTGGTTGTCTAATAAACAAATACCTTTTAAAAAAACTTAGGTAAGCCTTCGGCAATTCAGAATGAAAGCACATTGACAAAAAATGTGGAGAATGCTCCAGGATTAGGATGGCCTGATTCACTCTATTTTCCATTGACTATGTGATGTAAAAGTCTATGTAAATCAGCCCGGAGTTCCCAGAATCCATAGTTTTTTCCCCCTCCACCACTGGGACTTCTACTTTTGTGGAATTAAATGCTGTCACATTGCTTGAGCTGATGTAAAGGGGTTTGTAACCATTGTATTTGAAGCCATTCCTGATGGCTATAGCAGCAGTGAGAATGGCAGGGCAGCAGGGAGACTGTCTGTCTGTTGAATCCTCTTCTCCCTGCACTTGGTGCCTGGGTCTGCTTTCATTTTCCTTTCCCCTTTCATTTCTTTCTTTTAGAGGCTTGGTAATCTAGCATCAGGGCAGCTAGGTGACTGGAGGGGAAGGGGAGGAGCAAGGACTGGGCAGAGAGAGAGAGAGGATGAAGTTTTAGGGTAGCTTTGTTCTGTGTCTGCTACAAATCTAGATAGCCAGAGCAGAGCCTTGCTTTTATTCTTTCTTTAGTTACCTAGCTGTCCTAGTGCTAGAGCAGCAAGCCTTTAAAAAAAATAAGAACAAAGAAAGGGAACAGGAAGGGATGAGGGAAATAAGCGTACAGCCTCCAGCTGTGAAGAAGAGAAGAATCAAATTGTTAACAAGCTGCAAACAAGGCTGATTTCCTTCCCTCTGTCTTATGACTTCTGTGTGACGGCAGAAGCGAAATAATCTGGGAAAATCTGATTTCCTCAGTGCAACTTCACAGTGGAATGATTTGCATTTCCCCCACTCCGTAATTGCACCTTAAGCTAGGTTGCTCTAGAAGGGGCTTCTAATCGTCTATGCTGTTCTTTCTGTATGGATAGGTTTTTCATTGTACATCTAATCTGTTTTTATCTTTTAACTGTGTTTGTTTTGTTTGATTTTACCATAGTTAGCCACTTGGAGTGCCATTCTATGGGAGAAAGGCAAGATATAAATCCAAAAAAATTAAATAAGGAATACATAAGTGGACTCATCTGTAATGATTTTGTCTTGGCCATATGCCAGAGCACTGCAAAGAATTAATAATAAGTGCTAAACTAAGCATAGTCATAAACCTTTGGCGTTGTTCCAGATAGACTGCACAGACTGATCTTCTTAAGGCAATCAATCTCATTACAAAACAAAACAAAACAAGAATTTTTAATCCAGAAAAGACTATGGCCAGAATCCTGTTGCTGAATTATACTTGCATTAGGGAAATCACACAAATCCTGATGGCAAATTACTGTTCATTAGCAAGGTGTTGGTTTCATTGTTCGTTGCACAGCTAGTCAGATGCATACGCAGAGAAACTACAGCACCTTGTTAATGCATGGCAGTTTATGATCCTGGCCTATTTAACTCTAAAATTGAAAAATTAAGATCAGTTGTACAAATTAGAGCTTTGTCCATGAAATAATCTTTATTCCCTTTTGCTATTGTAAGATAATAAGAAGCCACCTTTCAGTAGTCACTCTGACTGAATTAACAAGAAGAAAATATGCAGTCTATGCTGGCTGAGCCCAAGATTCAAACCACATGGCTGCCTTCGTATCTCACTTTAATGAGTAGAGATAGAAACAAGCCTTATGCACTCATTCTGTTTCACTACTCCTTTTATGTCAGGCTGTCAAGAAACCAGACACGTTTCCCATTCATCACTCCAGGAAATGTCACTCCAGGAAACGGTGGCTAACAATTTTCAATCAATCCTGCATAACCGTTGTTTAAAGTTAGCTTAACGCTGCTTTCTTTAGAAGCTTCTAGCGCTAATCTCCCTATTTGCCTATAATGGGACACTGTGATTGATTAAAGACTTCATGGCTTGTTTCCCAACTTAGACAAAAAGCGTTCTATTCCTATCTCATTTTATGAAGCCAGCCCATGAGTAATCAGGATGAAATTTCCACCAAATACCAGGATATGTATCTGTGTGACATCCTCATTCTGTATATGGCGATGTTAACTAAAGGGAATGCTTCAGTAATATCCGTCTTACTGAAGCATGTTCTGAAATGTAAAAAAAGAGTGATAGCTTCCCTTACAAGACACTTCCTTCTATCATCTTGAAACCCATTGTGGGAAAGGTGCACCAACTTTTTCCCTTGACTTGTTTCCCAGGAACTGGAATACCTGAACAAATGGGGCCTTAATATTTTCCGGGTTGCTGAGTACTCTGTCAATCGGTCGCTCAGCTGCATCATGTATACGATATTCCAGGTATGTGTTGTCAAGTTGCAGAATTCCCCCATCTCTCTTCACCTCCACCCTGGCACTGCCTGGCCACTTCATCCTCCTCTTCTGGCTTAGACTTAAGGAACCTTTAAACCACTGGGTCAGTCTACAAAGCAGTGTAAGTTGGGTTGCAGCTTGAAATCTAATTTCTACAGATTTTTTAAAATAATGTGTACTTATATTTTCATGATTGCAAAAGGTATTGATAACAGCTAATAAAAGGGGATGGAGTATGATTTGAAGATACATTTTCTAGGTGACAAGTCCCCATTTCCCTAGCTAGTTTTTGGATATAAGGCATAATTTAATTGCCATAAAAGTTTGAAAAAAGTTGGTCTTATTTAGCAGAAGATCAAACTTCTTGATTCTCTGTTTTGAGAGGAGGAATATAAAGGGAGAACTGGCTGAATGGCAGATTCCCTCTGAAGAAGGGAAATGGGATGTAGGAGGAAAAAGCAAGAAGTCTGATGGCAACTTCCTTTTGTATGAATGGACCACCACTCTGGTCCATGTGTTTGTAATCTCGAGATTAGACCACTGTAATGCGCTCTATGTGGGGCTACCTTTGAGGTTGATGCGGAAGCTTCAAGTGGTGCAGAATGAGGCGGCCAGATTACTTAGTGGAATGAGAAAATTCCAGCATATCTCTCCCATTCTGGCTGCTTTGCATTGGCTGCCCATTCGTTTCCGCATTGACTTCAAAGTGTTAATGATGACATACAAAACCCTAAATGGTTTAGGACCTCGATACCTGGCAGAACGCTTTTTCCCATCTAGATCTACCTTAGTCACTCGCCATAGCCAGGAAAGACCGCTGAGGGCCTGATGCCGAGAGATGCCTGGAAAGAAAGAACAAGAAACTGGGCCTTCTCGGCAGTGGCCCCTCGACTTTGGAACAGCTTGCCACCAGAGATCTGCCTGGCACCCTCACTGGGTGTCTTTAAGAGCCAATTAAAAACTTGGCTCTTTAGGCAGGCCTTCCCTTATATTATTATTATAGTAGATTTTAATTGTTATTTTTAAATCTGTTAGTGTATAATATATTGTGAGCCGCCCAGAGTAGACTCCTGTCTAGAAGGGCAGGATAAAAATCCAATAATTAATAAGTAAAATAAATAAAATTTACAAGATCAATACATTTATTAGCCACAGACCAAAGCAGAGATGGGCGAAGTGCATCCCCTCCAGATTTTGTTTGGATTGCATCAACCCCCGGTGGCTTTGGTGGCTGGGACTCCTGCGAGCTGCATCCCAACAGCATGTGGAAGGCTGCATGTTCCCTACCCAAGTGGGCTTGGTCAGATTCCCAAACCATTAAATCCCAGTGCCACGCGTCCACCCACCTGCCAGGCAGCCCTGGGTGGTTGGGTGTTTCCAGCAGCCGAGGAACACAGGTGCTACCCCGTGGAATGGAATGGCCTGTCCAACCTGGGCAGAAGGCAGGTCTCTTTGCCTCGTGATGTTTCTGTGTGATGATGAGGCAATTTATTTTTGCTCTAAGAGTTGGAAACCATGAAGGGATTTATTTATATACTGTGTATATATTTTACTCTTAGGGAATTATAGCACCTCACACGCTGTGTGGGAGATGCACCAAACATTAAATGACAGCAGGGTCTGAGAAAGGACTCTGGCAGATGGAAGGGAGTGCCGTGGGCTTGGGCAGATCCCTCTTATTTATCCTCCGCTAGTTTACAGTATAGTCAGTAACTGGCTTTTGTTCCCTTCTTCAAAATGAAGCCAAAGCTCCTCTGCCAGTCACGGTGAGGAAGGCAAAGAAAATCTGCCCTAATATAGGGAGCCCGCCAGCTCCCATAGAAGAAGCAGGGCGACCTCCTTCCTGAGCTCACTTTCAATGAATGCTTTGATCCCTCTTTAGGAAAGGGACTTGCTGAAAACTTTCAAGATCCCCGTGGACACATTAGTCACTTACATCATGACGCTAGAAGACCACTACCATGCCGACGTGGCCTACCACAACAGCCTCCACGCTGCTGACGTCACACAGTCCACCCATGTCCTCCTGTCCACGCCAGCCCTGGATGTAAGTTTCTGTCCCCTGAGGTTGATCAATGAGGAGTGGGAGGGGGGGTAGGGATTCTGATTCTGGCTTTCTGTCTGCTTCCCTGGGAGAATGCCTTTCGACAGAGATGCCTCTGCGTGCAATAGGAGGTTTGTGGTTGAAGCATCCGTGCTGGAGGTTGCCCTTGACAGGTTCAGCCTTTGGATCCATGCTGAGGCACAGACCTGATATATATTTACTTACTTATTGGCCCAAGGTGAGATTTGGACCTGGATCTCCTTGTTCCAAGTCCAGAACACACTAACCCGTGACACCATGGTGGAGCAGCTACTGTAGCTCCCATCCTAATTTATCTCACAGGCCTGTGTAGCTTCCAAAGATGTGTATATGCACTAACTGGTGTGGTGGGGGAGGTAATGCCACTGGCCATGACTGGCTGAGCTGCTGGCTTTTTATATATGATCAGTAGGGCCTCTGCACATTGGCTGAGCAGCTCAGATTTTTAGATAGGCTGGATAATTTGGATGCTTATAGAAAAAGGTGGAGGTTGGGGTGAGAATAAAACAGAGGCCTGAAAAAACAAACAAGTCCCCTTTTTCCTTGAGAATGGAATGGACAGCACTTGGAAAAGTTATCTTTTTGGATTACAATTCCCGTAACCCCAAAATGAAGGATTTTGGGGATTGTAGTCCACAAAGCAGTTTTCTTCCCCAGCTGGGACAGGAGAGATGGCAAGAGCCAGGAGTCTGAAAGGCAAATAGGGAGAGAAAATGAGCAGAGAGGCAAAGTACACACGGCCAAGAATTGTACATGTGAGGAGATCCAGTGTTTGCCTATTGTGTTGGAACAGCCAGCCAAATCTTGGCTACAGACCTCCAGTAATGAATGTTGGGGTGTGTGTGCAGATTATATGTCAGTTCTTTGTTTGGAGAGTTGGGAGGGGGAATCCAACCAACTACCACCTGGGGGGGAGTTTGAAACCAGACCCCCCCCATGGCATTTGCAACTTGCATTTGAACCCACCTTAAGAAGCAGAGGTGGCACAATCATCTGCCATGAAATTTTGGGACTCTTATATATATTTTTTTTCTGCAGTATCCACACAATCTTGGTACACAGCTTGAGGAAGGCAGATTAACGTTGAAAGCTAGCAGAGACAGGTTCTCTCATCCCTGCCTGCTTGCTTTTACAGGCTGTCTTTACTGATCTGGAGATCCTGGCTGCAATATTTGCTGCTGCCATTCACGACGTGGACCACCCTGGTGTCTCCAACCAGTTCTTGATCAACACTAGTGAGTAGGGCATTGAAACAATGTGCAAAAAGGTGTGATAAGGGGGCCATGATGAATGCAGGGCAATGAGGAAGGCATGCCCCTGAGATGCAGAGGGTACTGAGAAGGGAATTTTTTATTTTTTTATTTTTTTTAAAATACTGCTACTCCCCACCTTTCTCCTTAAAATGGACCCAAGGCAGCTTATATCATTAAAAAGGCAATATTTAAAAGCTAAAAACAGTAAGTATAGAAATGTTTTAAAAGAATTAAACAAATATTATATTAAGAACAGTAAATAAAAACAATACTAAAAAGACATTTAAAAGCAATAAGGCATAACACTGCATTTAAAAACTCCTCCGTGACAGCCAGTCACTAAGGGACAGCTTGCCTGAAGAGAAAGGTCTGTGCTTGCAGAAGGACAGCAAAGATGGGGCCAGCCTGGCCTCCCATGTGAGAGAGTTTCAAAGTCTGGGAGCAGCCACAGAGAAGGCCCTCTCCCATGTCCCCACCAAGCACAGCAGTGAGGATGGTGGGACTTACAGAAAGGACTCTCCTGATGATCTGAATTTGGAAAACATATGATTTCCTTTCCACAGTATAATCCAGTATAATGCAGCCTTCCTCGTGCCAGTGCCCGCAAGATGTGTTGGGCTACCATTCCCATCATGTGGAAGTATAGCCAATGCTTGCTGAATGGGTGGGAGTTGTAGGCCAACATGTCTGTGGAGGACATGTGGAGAAAGCTGGTGTGATATATATTCTTCTGATGGCAGTAATGCATTCAACCTTTAATATGTCCCCCCCCGCACCAGGTGTCTGTTAGAATTTTTACTCCCATCAGCTTTTTTTTATTGTTTCGTTATTGTATTTTGGTGTTTTAGCTGCTAGTTTTATTGTATTTGTTATATGTAAATTACGTTGGGATTATTATTGCTTTTTAATGAAGAGCAGTGTAGGAAATATCTTATGTAAAGCAAGTGAGCGGGTAAGTAACTTCCTGCTAGCTATAATACAGGTGATAAGAGGTTGTTAATCTTTGGATAACCTCTCCCTTTATAGTCTCTAGAAGCAAAAACAGTTTTTTAAAACTCATCCCTTTGTTTGCCCGCTGCTCTGTGATGCCCTCCGACGTGACTCTTCCCCCCTGCTGGCAGATTCAGAGCTGGCGCTCATGTACAACGATGAGTCTGTGCTGGAGAACCATCACCTGGCCGTGGGGTTCAAGCTGCTGCAGGAAGAGAACTGCGACATCTTCCAGAACCTGACCAAGCGGCAGCGACAGACCTTGCGCAAGATGGTTATCGACATGGTGAGCCTCGGTCAACCTTCTTTCAAGGGCACGTCTCTCCGTAGCAGGGGCCGGGAGGTGCCTCCTGGGTCAAGCGGTTCCATCCCTGGGCTTTATTTTTGGGTGACTCAAGGTCTGAATTTTGCCCCAGTTTCTCATAATGATCCCTCTTGAGAAAGAAACACATCTCTTTTTTCTTCCTGAAATGGCGAGCTAGTGGACCTTGGCTATGAGTACCACTGTATTGTTTAGTTTCTCTGCTGCCTGTGATGCGGACCTTGATTCAGCAGTTGCTGTGCACGGAGCCAACAAGAGAAGAGAATAACAGGGAGAGTGGAGGAAAGAAGGCTACCTGAGACAGAGAGGTGGACTGCATGGGAGGCTGATTTTATTTTTTTGGCCTTGGTAGGAAAGCAGTCTTTCTCCCACTGGCTTCCACACTTTCTGCTGTGGTTTTTTTTATAAAGGAGAGATATATAATTTGGGACACAGGCTGTGACTCTGGTTTAGGAGAACACATTGCACTTCAAATAAGAAACAACAGTTCTCAGGTAGAAAGCACTGGGCCTATTCCACCTGCATAGCACCAGAAGTCACTTACGGTACTATCTCCCCCAAGAGTTATTGGCACTGAAGACTGTGTTGGTTTGCCTGTGAGTGGATAGTAGTCCCCCTGGAACAATCCCTGCCCCCAAAAGGGTGGGGTGGGTTTGGCCAGTCAACCGTGGGGAAAGCTCTCAGTGCAAGCCTTGCAAGCAGAACACTTGGCAGACAGTGAGAGAGCAGTGGAACTAGAGGTCCAGCACATCCGTGACCGTGTCTCCCACCTGTCCCTAACCTTGGGAAAGTTACTTTTTTAGACTAAAACTCCCCAAATCCCCCAATCAGTATGGCGTCACTGCTGGAGTATTGTGCGAGAGGTAGTACAGTGAAGTAATATTTCCAAACTGTGCCCGAAACAGGCATCATAGCTGGCTCTCTGTAAGGTTTGAAACAGATCGCCAAGTGGAGGAAAAGCTAATTCCTTCCAAATGCCTTCAAAACAGGGCATGATCTATTTAAATACTGTACCAGGCTTGCCACTTCCATTACAATTTCAGAGGAGATGCTTACCAAGTGGAATCAGGCAGGATGGAAGTTTTATTTCACTGGATGTTTTCCCATAGCGACGATTTTTTTTGAGCCAATTAAAATCATTAAGCGAGGCACCACTGTATTTCCAAACTGTGCCCGAAACAGGCATCATAGCTGGCTCTCTGTAAGGTTTGAAACAGATCGCCAAGTGGATGAAAAGCTAATTCCTTCCAAATGCCTTCAAAACATGGCATGATCTATTTAAATACTGTACCAGGCTTGCAACTTCGATTACAATTTCAGAGGAGATGCTTACCAAGTGGAATCAGGCAGGATGGAAGTTTTATTTCACTGATATTCTGGTAGTATGCAAATATATATATGTATACACTTAGTATAAAATATAAATTTATCTGGTTAAAATAATCCATCTAAAGGCCACTGATTAAATGCTGGCTATCACTGCATTAGTGGATGTTAAAAAAAAGAAAAGAAAAACTATACTACACTGGCAATGGTGTGTATCCACAAAAGTGTTCAACTTGTCTGGGAAGGGCAGGAGCGAAACTTTGGAGCCTGTGCAAATAAGGAGCAGCCCATTCTTGTGTTTACAGTATATGGTATCTGTCTCCCTGCAGGTCCTGGCTACTGACATGTCCAAACATATGAGTCTGTTGGCTGACCTGAAGACCATGGTGGAAACCAAGAAGGTGACCAGCTCAGGGGTCCTACTGCTGGACAACTATACTGACAGAATACAGGTGAGGCGCCTGTCTTCTGCAGATGGAAGACATTATTGTTGTCTGAAATCAGCTGGTGGAAGCTCGAGGTCCTAGGTTCTCAACCTTTGGTCCTCCAGACATTTTAGACTTCATGCTGGCTGTGGCTTCTCGGAGTTGCCTGCCCAACACATCCAGAATACCTGCAGGATCGAAACTGAGAATCACTGATCTAGCCTTTTCATCCTATTCACAATATGTTGTGCATTTCCTCTTTTATATAAAAAATATTATATATTAATATTAATAAAATAACAAATGAAATAAACAAGATGTCCAAAATATCATACAATCACATTAACACAATACAGTAGAAATAAGAAAGAAGAAGAAAAGAGTGGAATAAAATTAAAGGA